CACCCCAAAAGGAGCTGGCAAGAAGGGCACCAAAGGTCCGAAGGGCTCTGGCGGCAAGCACCACGACGAAAGCACCGAGGAGACCACGACCCCGAAAGGAGCTGGCAAGAAGGGTTCTGGCAGCAAGGGCAGCCACGAAAGCACCGAGGAGACCACCACCCCAAAAGGAGCTGGCAAGAAGGGCACCAAGGGCAACCACGAAAGCACCGAGGAGACCACCGCCAAAGGAGCTGGCAAGAAGGGCTCTGGCAGCAAGGGCAGCCACGAAAGCACCGAGGAGACAACCCCAAAAGGAGCTGGCAAGAAGGGCTCTGGCAGCAAGGGCAACCAAGCAAGCACCGAGGAGACCACCACCCTGAAAGGAGCTGGCAAGAGCAAGGGCCCTGGCACCAAGGGCAACCACGAAGGGACCGAGGAGACCACGACCCCCAAAGGAGCTGGCAAGAAGGGCCCTGGCAGCAAGGGCAGCCACGAACGCACCGAGGAGACCACCACCCCAAAAGGAGCTGGCAAGAAGGGCCCTGGCAGCAACGGCAGCCACGAAAGCACCGAGGAGACCACCCCAAAAGGAGCTGGCAAAAAGGGCACCACTGGTCACAAGGGCTGGAACAGCACGGAGAGCCACGAAGGCACTGAGGAGACCACCCCAAAGAGGCCCAGGAACAACAACAGGTTGACCGAAGAGCTGTTGCACAATGTTGAGCAAGAAGCCAAGGAACTGAATGCATCCAACAGCATTGACAGCTCGACCTGGGATGATTGGCAAAGCTACCTCAAGTACTGGCAGCACAACATTCACGACATGACACACAAGCCAGACGACTACGTCCCAGCAGACTTCGAGGACCCACTCGTGATCCTCCCCAACTACGTCCTCGCCAGCTTGAAGAACATGGAAGCTAAACAACCACGCCTTCTTAAGCTACGCATAGAGAAGATCAGAGGGCTGGCAACGATGTTCGATTCGTTTCTTAGGTGGCAAGCACTGAATCACCCGAACTTCAAGCACTCATGGGGAGAGAAGCCGGCGATGCAGCTCACGCAACATTGCCACTTCCTCCAAGACGTGATTTCAGGTCGGGTGCTTCTTCAAGTTATTCAAAACACACACATCTTAAAATAGAGATCATCCAGAATCATCCAAGCAAGTTTTTCGCATGCATATATATGCATATATATATATATCTGCACATACTTGCTGTGTTAACATACATGCAAATATAAACTAAATAAACGATACCTTTATCTGCGTGCAACTATTCATCTAGCAGCGATATGCTATATTGCTGGCCCCGGCAGGCGGAGCTCCGACTGATGCAATCGAAACAGATGCGGAAGAGGAGGAGGCCGATGAGGATCAGGACGATGATGATGATGAAGGAGAGGAGGTGGAAGAGGAGCAGGGGGAAGAAGACGACTGGGGCGTCGATCAGGAGGAGCAGCATGAAGATCAAGATGCGGAATGGTATGACGAGGAGGAAGATGCGGATCATGATGATGAGGGCGAATGGGGTGATGACAATGGCGAAAATGAGCAAGAAGATCCCGACTACACGGCCCTCAAGAGTGTGGATGTCAATGATGCTGCGTGGTACGCTGACCATTGCAAGCAGTGGAATTACAAGAAAGCCGACAGCTGGTCAGGCAAGCCGTGCAAGCCTGCGTGCGTGCACCGGTCCCCGTAAAACTAAACTATGTATATACAGACCCCTATCAAATCTCGCGCAATTACCACGATCGGCGCAGGCAGCAGCACTACTGCCTCGCTTCTGAGCTGACATTATGCACCATCTACATAATCGGTGCTAGCACACATGCATAAGGCCCTCGATCGATCAACACATTGCATGTTAACTGCTGCTATGAGGCCCCCGAAATCGATCCTGAAGCGGCAGCTGTCCAGCGTCACGGTGAACTCCGAGTATAGCGAGCCATCGACGATGTCCCCGCTCGGCCTGCGTGAGCAAGGGCAGAGTAAGGTGAGCAGGGCGCGGTCCCTGGACGGGTATCGGGTACATGTGGCACATCATGGGGTTCAATATAATCATGTAGCTGCATATCAGGTCAGGGTCTTGGATGGCGCAGCACGGGCCAGGATCCAGGCTCGCCCGTGGTGGATTTGAATTTGTTGGTTATCGTATACACATGAATTCTCAGGTTTAAAACTAGACGGTAAATATCTGGTATACATCAGTATAAGCCCAATTGTAATGATAAAGGACCTATACATTAAGTTTTGACTTGCTTCTAAAATTTTCATGGTTCCGGTATACCTGCCATAATTGACCGATTTCTTTTATATCCTTACTGCGAAACTCATCCTGAAACCGATAGTATGTCCCATCTTACTTCTCTCTAATCCTAAAATCCCTGGCCTGCTATAACAGCTACAAACTGTACGGCTGTAAATTAACCCTTTATACCCCGAGCCCTATAAAACTATAGCTTTCATCGAATGATTCAGTATACCCGTGAACAGTCAGTGAGTCAGCTAGTGCACATCGATCAGCAAATTAACTGTGCAGGACATGACGCACCCGAACCAGATGTCAGCAGAGGAACGGAAGCGGCAGAGATCGGCGATGATGAGGCGCTTCAACAATCCAGAAGGACCGAAATTCATGCACCTCACCTATACAATCATCCCCATGCTATAACAAAACTTAATCGAAACCTGCAGGACTGCCCGCAGGATTGCTCGAGAAGTGGGAGAACACCTCGACGACGTTGGGGAAGCTTCTCGGCAGCATCGAATCCTGGGTTCAATGAATCAGTGCCACATTACAAGCTGCATCCAAGATTCGAATTTTTAAAGCAATTTATGCTCGATCCTGATGGGATGAGTGGCTTGACGATCGAGGCGGAGTATCGCGAGAAACCAGGCGGCACTTATATCTGCCATGCTCGATGTTCGTTAACAAACAGCTCGGCTTCGAACTTGAGATGTTCGCTAGAATTCAGCCAATTAAGGATATCGGAAAAACGGAACGAGGGGCACTACGTGGAGCTCCCCCTCCACGAGCTGCGCCAAAAATACTCGACGCCCGAAGGCGCTGCCTTCTTGGAGAACGAGATCGTAGCGAAGCAGCCAGGGCGCCCGCATCCGCAGGTCCACTGCAGTGGGATACAAAATCGCATCATCTTACCCTAAAACCCAAACCCTAAACCCTCGATCCGCTAGAGCCGCTTGAACTAATTTGAAAGCTTTTATCACGGCGATCCAGGCACCGAAGAACGAAGATTTCCGCCTCTACAAGGTGTACGAATGCGATCGGGAAATCAGCAACCAGTTGCAATTCATATATATATATATATATATATATATACACAGCAACATATAGCTATCTGCGAGTTTGAGATCGATTCGCTATTACGTATGCGAGATATACAGTTTTGATTCTGAGGCGCAGGGATCAAGCGCCTGTCGACGGCCGTGAAGGGCCAGAAAAAGATCAAAAGTGCTGCCGCGGGGCAGAAGCTGGCGGAGACCCTCGCCGCGCAGACGGTCGATCTGCAGAAAGCAGGAGAGCCGGGGTCGGCCAAGCCCCCAAAAAAGGAGAAGGAATCAAAGGCCAGATCCATATACCGATTCGAGCACTATGTATATGAACAACAGAGATTGAGAACATTAGCATCACAGACTGCAGGTGCTGACGCCCGAGGAGCAGGAGAAGAAGGACTTCGACAAAAACATGCAGCAGACTCTTGGCAACAATATCGGGACCTGAAGTAGTCGTTCAGTGATTCACATGCTGCTGCAGCTAAGGATCCTGAATCTGGCTAACAAAGCCAGAACCGTGGCCCAGAACCTCACACGCACCGGCATGGCACGGCAGGAGGCCGCATCGCCAGACCGAAACCCCAATAGCCCTAAGGTTTTATATAGGGTTTAGGGTTTAGGATTTTGAGCTTAGGGGTTTAGGGTTTAGCGTCTAGGGTTTAGAGTTCAGTCCCAACCGCGGCCCCTTGAAAGCCCACAAATTCGATCTAGACCCGTGAACACGTGCACACCCGTGTACAGATAGACCTCTATCTCTATGTAGCCGTGTGTGGGTGTGTGCGTGTGTGCGTGTGTGTGTTAGAGTTTTTCTCTAGCGAGTTATAGCAACACATGCATGCACATGTTAAACCTATTTGCCATTCCTACATGACCTGATAAGATCTATTCGGTTTAGTTTCATTTTGCACAACAATTGGGGACCTGTGTGCCATGCAGGAAAACATCAAGCACATGGGGGAGGTGCACCAGGCTTGCATGGACATCCACAATTGGTTCCTTGACTTAAAACAGACAACGGTCTACAGGTGTGTCGTTTAATCAGCACCCAATGGAAGTCGAATCTCAGGATCAACGGCTTCGTTTTCGCGGGCCAGTCTGATGCAGAGGTTTATGCCGCCTACGAGAGCCAGAAACATGATATCGAGGCCCAGTTGCTCGGCTTCATTCGTCGATCGTGCCATCCAATGATGCCCTGCATGCAGGCGCACAACAAGGCCGTCATGTCTGTCGAAGACATCGTGACAGGCCACTACCGACGTGACTTGACATCAATATAGCACAACTAGAAATTCTCAGTCCATATATGTGACACATATGGAATGTACAAATCTTCGGTGAGCTAGCTGTTGCGACGTATACATAAGGAGTCGCTGCCGCGAAAAGAAAGGCAGACAAAGAAGCCGAGAAGTCGGGTCAGCTGGTTGCGGCTGAGGGGGAGGCAGGAGATCCGGCTTACTGGGATGCGGAAGCCGCGGCCGAGCCCCCACTGAAGCGAAGCCGATCGTAAGCCCATGCTGTACGTGACACTTATTCGATTTGTCCAGCCTGTAAGTGCTGACACTTGTGATTTTCGTTTCCGCACTCAACTGCCCGCAGTACTGTGCGACACGATGTGGTGCATGCAGCCTGGTGACGGTTGTCTTCGAAACAGCCTATAGGTTCAACGCATGTGGGCTCCTTTAAACAGCAACATGAAACCATACGTGCATTACCGATTCGATGATGACAACCTTAAGCGAGGCTGCAGGGGGTCGTCTAAGCCATGAAGCGATTTAAATCTTTCAGACTCTGATCTGCAGAGCATTCTAAAACATGTGATGCCGAATGCTGTGTGTCCTGCAGGGAATCGAGGAATCGGCTGTCGCAGCATGTGCAGATCGTGCGCGTGCCCATTGCGATCACCTTGGCTTAATTGTCCGGGCTTCACGTTTTTAGTTAGTGCTATTGCACGCTCAACCATTGCACCGTCGAGACCGAAGCTGTAACCCATGACACGGCACGAATCTCCAATGAGCTTTTTCAGCACTGGATTAATTTGGCATGGTGTATGTAGATCAAGAAACATTGCCCCCGTGTATCCTGCACAGTCTTAATAAGTTGCCCACGACTACTCATATACCCTATAAACCCTAAACCCTAAACCCTATAGCACCCCTAACTGCAGCAATAATGGATCTACGTAGTCCTATACACATACTATGTAGCGATGCGTATATCGAACGGGGTTAACCTTCTTTCGGCAAATCCTTGCCGGAGTACGTTGCAGCCCCTTGCATGTATATATGCTGCCGAATCTTCCATGGAAGCTTCGTTGCCAGAGAAGCAGCCGGCTGGCCAAATTGCACAGTATGTGGCCACGACCATCTCAGACATGCTTGAGATGTTTGGGAGCGGAGAGGCCATGCATGGTGCTGCGCATGAATTAAAGTACTGTGCACATACACTTCAACATCTCGTTTGTCTGTACTTACAGCTGCTTTCCGGGTGCATGAAGGTGACCATGGAACGCTTGCGAAGGCAAATAGGCAGGCGGCTTCGACAAGAGCCAGCGCTGAGTTCATATGAGCCAAACATGTGTTCGATCTCGCATATAGGCCGCCTGCGATCCTTGCCGCATATGCTGATTCCGTCTCTCAGTCAAAAATGGCGGTGCATGCAGCCGATTTGCCAAGTACTATATACTCCCATCCCACATCAGGCCCGAGATTCTGGAGCTATGCGATGCACTGGAATCCCCCAATCGGTATGGGCCTGGCCGTATATTCCAACGGTGGTTTAAAAAGCAGCCGTGGCGCAACTTTGCTTAAGTATCATGAATTCGATCAGTCTCCTTCCGACAAAACTCTTGATGTATTCATGGATCCGGCATCAATACGAAGTTGAAACTCAGGTCAGCTTCTTCCTCTACCTTTCGTTTTCGATGTTCCAATGGCGACTTTGCTGAACTATATGGATTTGCCTGCCCGGCTTGAGATACGAGTTGCAAGTGAGGAATATGTCGATGCCCGCGGCCAGATTATTCAGACAATCGAACAAGAGATGATGTTGCCGCATGAAGTGATTTCCTGCTTGCACAAGCGGAGAGACTTGTTTGAGCTCCTGACGGGCCCTCCAGGAGACGCTTGATCGGAGACACATCGGATCTAGTATCTACAGTATTTATGCACAACCCTTTTACACATGGCCACTTTTTCTGTTGAATCACATGTAAAACCCCTTTGGAACGCCAGGTCTATAACGACAGAACGTAATGTTCTATTCTAAATCAGCTGCAGTGCCTAGGCATTGCGGTCATATTGGGAAAAGGAGCTCGCCGCTCAGAATGATTTCTTCACTCCGCATCCGCTGCTGAAGGCGGATCGATGGGCACACCCAAGATCGTGCCAGAAGTCTTAAAGTTTGATTTTGTGACTCGAGGAGAATGACTTGGACACGATAATTCCTTTGAGAATATACGGCGACGGGGCTGACGCTTACCGCGACCTTGCTGAAACAGCCGAATGTAGTACCTTCATCTTTGCAGGCATATATATATATATATATATATGCATGCGTGCAATGAGTTGAGGACGGCAAAAGTTCGAGATCATCACTTTGGTGACAGTACCGCAAACACAAGCAGCATCGTCTACGTTGAACACTCGGATTTTGCATCTCGGCAACTTTTTAATATGTACTGCACTCGGCATAAATCTCGCAGCTAAGGCTTTCGTGTATGAACGCGACATTCTGCAGAAAGCCTGCACGTGAACATGTGCTTCAAGTGATCGCATGGAGCTTCAACTGTTTGTGTGCCTTGGCTGCCTGTGGACTTTTGTAAACGCGCCGGCTGTTTTACGTGTATATAGGGCTGATATCTGGGCTGGATGCACCAGAAAACCTTTAACAAATTCAGGCGATGGGGTTTTCCCAGACACTGATCCATGGGGAAAAAAGTTTGGAGCTAGCTACTACCCGGCACGTGCTGCTGCGGCTGGAAAGCCTATCGCTGGCCCGTACAAGTGCATACTGGATGGCTTTCAAGCGGATTGGGAATACCACATGCTGGCTATGGGGTTACATAGAAGCTTGCTCGGCATTAATATAGAACTTTCTCGTATATCTAGCGGGCATATTCCTCAATAATTCGATTTTGGACCACCTCATATCGAGGATTCTACAACAAGAAATTGACGTGTCATTTTTGTCAAGCGATTCAATGGTGCAACGTGCAAGCACCTCCAGGGGAACCGAATGACGTGAATCTCCTCTACACGTGTTTCGGCCGTCGGGCTGAACACCGCAAAACGTTGATCAAGACCCTCGAAGAGTTCACGGCAGCGCACGGGCACAGTGCTTTGACCACAATCAAGGGGTTCGCCCCATGCCGTAACCAAACACATTTCAGAAAACTCTTATTGCATTCCGTTATAGTGGGACTCCTGTATACATGGCTCGAACGATTTTGTACATGATGCCATGTGTTTTCATAGAAGGACTTTACCCCGACTACATGCACATGGTCCACCTGGCCGTAGCGGTGGACCTAATCACGAGCATGCTTTTGGAAATCACGGACGACACCAGCATTTTTGGCGAAGCATCACGGGAACGGAGATTGTTGCATGTTTGGGAGGCTTACCGAGAATGGGCGGAACAACTTAAAGTGGGCGACCGGGCTGGCAAGCGATTGTTTACAACTGCTGTGCTGCGAAACAACAAAGTAGTGGAAGTGTCGCAGAAAATATTGAGCGCCACAGCGTGCCGGTACATGATCATGTGGGCGGCTGCCTTCATGGTATCGATTTGCCAATCCCTGCAACCTGTGCCGATCCTGATCCAGCGGTTCGCCTGCGATTGAGTACATATATTCACACATGCTGTTCAATTTCTTAACAATAAACGGGCGATCACGGGGGTGGTTGCATTAACTATAGATTCAGTAGATCGAACGACATGCCTGCAATCATTAATTCACCGCCACGGCATGCAAGGCACCTGACAGCTGCTTTGTCGTCGCTGAGAGATATGGAGCTGCTGATGCTGAATCACGGGCCCCTCGCTTGCATGTAAAGCTGCCTCGACTTACACCTCGAGTTTTTACATTACCATATGTGCCCAATAATTAAAATATAATCTATACACCGATTCCATCATGCACCTTTATGGGTGAATGACACATAGTCACAAGTCAGCTAACTTCAGGCGATTTTTCGACGAGCGATCGGCAGATGACTTTGAGCGGTCTTACCTGATGCTGCGATATTCGTACAACGAGTTGGCCATAAGTGCTGTTCTGCGCTCTCTGCCGAGATACCACTACCGTCCAAAAATCCACCTGCTGGAGCACGCAGTACTAGATTGGCGGCCGAAGAACCCCCGTTACTTCAGTAACTACCTTGGCGAAGACGCGGTTCGCCGCATCAAGGTATTAGCTTCGAGATCTCCTGTGCGGCAGATGTCGCGCCATGTGCTGCTGCGATATACGGTTCAGATGTGCTTGCAGTGGCGGCAAGGCTGAAAAAAATCGCCTGAGTTTGAAGCATCGTTCTTTTTGCTGCATGCATGCGGGATCTCTCTCACTCTGTCTCAGCTCTCTCTCTCTCTCCCTCTCTTTCCTCTCTTTCTTTTTCGCCATGGTGTGAGAGCGTGCGCGTTTGTGTGTGTATGTGTGCGTGCATGCGGCGCCTTGCATCGCAACAAGTTGCAGTATCTATGAGATCGAAGCTCGCTGTTAATTCGGAAGAGTAACAGCGAGCGACAGAGAGAGAGAGAGAGAGAGAGAGAGAGATAGATAGATCGATCGGAGAGAGCTATATAGCGAGAGCGAGATCAGAGATATAAAGAAATATGTATATATATATATATGTATATATACATATATATATATATATATATATATATACATATAATGCCAATATCTGTGGATCGCATGTGCAACAAAAAGTTTTAGTAGTATAGAACACGTGGTATATACATGTACGAATGCGGCCGGCCCATATATCATGACGCACGGTGATGACACGACGCATTTTCTAGCAAATCAAACCATTGTAACTACTTGGAGCTCCGAGGAACAGCATTTTTGTCGAGTGCAACGTTGCGGATCATTCACTGTATACCACTATTGCCGAAATCGTTAATGCTATGCCCCCTGAAATGGACCCGGGTTTAGCCCGCAGGTTGCCGAAGCTTGAATTTGGTAGCGCCGCCAACGCCCTTATATGGTCAACGTCCTTATGTGGTATTCGGCCTCATGTATAGGGCTGGTAGGCCCGTGCTGGTTACAAGCCTAAGCATGCTAAGCAGCGACCTTTGCGCTGTGCGCCGACTCCCTGCCTTGCCAAGGAGAAGCCTGCGCTGGAGCCCCAGCCCGTTCGACTTCAGGTTCCCGCTGAGCTCGATGCTGAAGGTAAGGAGGTGTCCCCTGCCAAGCATGTTGCTGCTTCGCATCGTCAAATCCCCCCGGGGTGCGATCTCATTGAGACTCCGAAAGACGGAGCATGTCTCTTTCATGCGATTGCGCGTGGTCTCAACTGGCTTTCGGGCCCTAAGAAGGCCGAGCATTCCCACAGAGACCTGAGGGCGCGTTGCGTCGAGCATTTACGTAAGCACGCTTCGCAGTATATTGGTGAGTGGGACGGCCATGGGCCGGAGTTACAAAAATTGCGTGAAAAAGCTGAATCACCGGAGGCGGGCTGTGAGGAATACCTCAAGTTACTCGCTTCTGAGTCTGCATACGCCTCTACCATCGAAATAAAAGCCCTCGGCCGCTTGTTTGACTGTCGCATCCTGGTCATCCCTCGTGATGGCAATTTTAGTGCGATGACTTTTCATGCGCAGCAGCGCAAGAGGACACTGGTGTTGTGGTATACACCTAAACATATTGAGCTTCTTTTGCCCGCTAAGGACTCTCGAGAGTACCCCGAGGAGATTTTCTCTGTTACGAGCGGTGCTGTCGTGGACCTGCGTGCCGGAGGTGATGATGCTTCCCAGTGCTCGGGTACGGTTTGGACAGGCAGCGCCCGATCCAACCGGTCCAAGGCCAGTCGAACCTCCTCTGTGAAGGCGGGTACTGTGTGGACTGCTGTCAAAACATCGAGCAAAAAGGCCGTTTCACAATCCCGGCGTGATGCTTCAGTTCCGAGTTCGCAAAGGGATGATTGCATTGCTGGCCATCGGTCTGGTCCAAGTTGTCTCAAGCGCGCTCGCGGTGCTGCCGTGACGGTATGGTCCCGAGCCGTCTCTTCAGACGCTTCCGTGCATTCTCAAATGCCTGCCTTAAGCCGGAGTGGGACGATGATGATGCCCCGCGCCCTGAGCGTTTGCATCATGCCAACCGGGCCCTGCCTCAGTCTGCCCTCGTTATGGCCCGTCGTAACCGCGGCCGAGCTTTCCCTGATGGAGTTGCTAAATGCAGGCTTTGTCCCTTCCGCCGCAAGTGTGCCGATCCTGTGAAGGCTTATGCGGCCTATCAGCGGCATTTCTTGGATTCGCATCCGGGGGAGAAGCTTGGACTCGCTCCTGCATGCAAGGCTTCCTGTGTTCGTAACCTCGCTGATGGCGAGGAGGCGCACTGGAGATGCAAACGGTGCCAGGCAGGCATCTCGACTGCTGATGCGGCCCGCTTTGGCAAGGACTCCCTGTGGCGATTTCGCCGGGAGCATAAAACAAAGGCCCACCCGCGAGTCTCTTGGGCTGTGTGGAACAAGGAAGCGAAATCACACTCGGCTACCAAATGGGCCTCAAAGATCAGTGTCACTCGTAACAATGCCAAGAAGGCTAAGCTCTTGCCGGTGCTGCGCGAGCTTGAGGCTCAGGATTTTGATGCCTTCGGGTGGCCGCGCCAGGCCGGGAAGGACACCAATACTGTTGATAAGTATCCCTTGCGCATATGCCCGGCTTGGGTGTGCCGCAAATGCCGAGCGCCGTGCCCCTCTGCAGAGATTGCTCGGAAGCATCGTTCGGTCAAGGGACAGTGCCCTTAATCTCGCACTATCTCGCACTGCTAAGGCGAGGGCGTGGATTCGGTTGCGCTCCCTTGCTGCAAATAAAAAGCTTCATGATGCCGCTCCTGCCTCTGTTCGCAAAGAGCAAGGCGAGCTCGCTTTCGCTGCTGCTGAAAAGGCCTTGCGAGCCCCCATGTC